ACTTGAATTCCACTAATTTTAGCATAATATTTAGGCACATAGAATTGGAAGGAGCTAAAATGTTTTTAATTTTTATTTAAATAATATTTTTCTGGTTTCATTCTGTCGCTTATATTAAAGTTATCAGAAGTGTGACGTTAATAGAAAATAAATTTCAAATACTAGTATTCTGCTATCAGCGTTTGCAATGTATGTCCTTATTCTCGTTTATTTCAATTACAATCTCTTTAAATAAAAATGAATTATTTCTTTATTTTTAGCCGGGCTTAATTATTGCTCAAAGAGCAATTGCCGGCTTATGTGATCCTGTTCAAGGCAGGATGTCAACCCCATAGTCGCCATTTTAAAGTTACGTGCAAAAATATAGTTCTTTAACTTTCAACCGCCTTTGAGATTATGCAAACGCTAAATAAAGCAACAAAAATAAAACGAGGTTTTATCTATATAAAACATTAGTAATAATGACTTTGAAAACTTCAGTCCTAAGTCAAAGAACATAATTCATTAGCGTAAGGATTTTTGATAATCAGTGTTATCGTAGTTCTCTACACATACGAGGTAAAGCAGGAGAGGGAACCAGACTGGCCTGTTTGTTTACATTCAGCTGCGGTACCAGATTAATTCTGATTCTGACAAAATCGGACCGTGGTATTAGGATTGAAAAACACACTGGCAGTGTCTTATAATTTTAAAATATTTTTTTCATCAGAATATAAACCTGATTCATGTAAAAAAAATTCATTTTACTCTGTAAATGAGCCCGGTTCTCTGTACGTCTGAGTACTTTGATTATTCTCGACATGTCAACCATTCTCTAAAGTTTCAAGAATGACGTCAAGACTAACCTGTAAAATAAACATTTTGTCTTTTCATTTTTTTCTTCTGTTTGCTGTCAGTGTTTGACAGTTCGCCAGATTGTTAGAAACCATTCAACAATATTGAAAAGGAATTCATTACCCCCTCTTGCATTCTAACATTTATTTTTATAATAACTGCAATGTAAAGCAAACAACGAAAAGAACTTGGATTTAAACAAAAAATATTTTCGATCGCAGAGAGAGAGTTTAGCGCCTATCATTTTGTTAATACTTTACTTCGGAGTAGTCCCTCCTTTCACATTGATTTCATTTGGTGAACGGCATTGTGACTTCTTTCTGTTGGACAAAAACTGTGTGTACTTTACTCCTTTGACACCCTGACTGTCGACCCATACAGTGTTTTGGGCTCATCAGAAGGATGATTAAGGCTATTTTTAATTGAAAATGTCTCCCTATTCCTGCTTTAAAAACAAATACTTTGAATTTAGAGCACTAGTTAAAAGTAATGTATAATGTTTCTCCAGGGTCTGCAGAGTTCAACATACCCCGTCTATAACAAAATTTAGTCACTGATGAAGCTTGTGTGGTCCAATGCAAGAAACGTACCTATGCTGATCAGAGATCAACAGAATGATTGATGTAGGCTGTGGCTTCTGCTATAATATACAATAACTTTTAAAGGAATTCACACATTTTCATTACAGAATCAGAGTTCCATTTTATAGGTGACAACAGAACCCGTGACCCAGGGAGCCCATAAATTCAAACTTTTGAAAGAAACACTTTGCATATAAAAAATATGCAATATGCACTGAAAATATAAAGCCAGCTGAAAGATCGGGATTCCTTATACTTACGTCGGCAGAAATAAGTGTCCAGCTGGACTGTAGTTGAAGAGTGAAGAAAAACATGAACACGATGGAAAATGTTTCAGATATTCGATATCCAGGCCCTGTAAAATTTACTTGTAAAGTGTAGCCTTATATGGCATGTCAAACGTTGCAATATTCGATAATCTTGTGATGTATATTCAAAATCTTGTGATGTATGTTCGAAATCTTGTGATGTATATTCAAAATCTTGTGATGTATATTCAAAATCTTGTGATGTATGTTCGAAATCTTGTGATGTATATTCAAAATCTTGTGATGTATATTCAAAATCTTGTGATGTATGTTCGAAATCTTGTGATGTATGTTCAAAATCTTGTGATGTATATTCAATATCTTGTGATGTATATTCTTAAACTTGTGATGTATATTCTATAATCTTGTGATGTATGTTCGAAATCTTGTGATGTATATTCGAAATCTTGTGATGTATGTTTGATAATCTTGTGATGTATATTCGAAATCTTGTGATGTATGTTCGATATCTTGTGATGTATATTCGAAATCTTGTGATGTATATTCTATAATCTTGTGATGTATGTTCGAAATCTTGTGATGTATATTCGAAATCTTGTGATGTATATTCTATAATCTTGTGATGTATATTCAATATCTTGTGATGTATGTTCAAAATCTTGTGATGTATATTCAATATCTTGTGATGCATATTCGAAATCTTGTGATGTATATTCTATAATCTTGTGATGTATGTTCGAAATCTTGTGATGTATATTCGAAATCTTGTGATGTATGTTTGATAATCTTGTGATGTATATTCGAAATCTTGTGATGCATGTTCGATAATCTTGTGATGTATATTCGAAATCTTGTGATGTGTGTTCTACAATTCAGTGATGCGTGCAATAAAATTGCATGACGCAACAGAAAAGTAAGGACAATTTTCATTGGTTAGAAATAACGAAAGTAGCTGAAGCGTCGGGAAAACCATGCAGGTGAGAAAAAACACATCAGTTTGTTTATTGCAGCACTAAATACGAGATGCACGAGTGTTGTTCCTGGTGACATGATGGAGATATTTCGGCCTGCTAGGGAAAAAACTCAGTAAACGTAGATGTATTGACAAAATTTGTAGGAACTTGTAACGATATGTCACGATGCTGCATTGTCAGATACAGTATTTATACATGCATGCTAAAAAGTTAAATCTCGTAGTAATCAATATAGCAGAAGAATAATGAAGAGTACATACTACAAAAACTGTGCAATTTGTAGCAAGATTAATTTTTGTTTAACAGCTGTTTTTATGACATTTTATTTCGTATTATTACTACCAAATACTGTTACCGTTTGTTAATGTTTAATCCGAGATTCCTCTGACTCTAACCCCCGCTTTTATATTAGTCCAGTCAATTTAAATTTTACCTGTAACTAATTGCAAAAGAAATAATTTTTTTGGCAAACTACTCTTTAGTGTATGTAAAACAACATATAAAAAATCTAATTTTATCTAATGTGAGAAATATTATATTTTTGTGTAAGAAATTTGTTGAGTGCGCCCTTCGTTTTCTGTCACCGCTGTGCTGTCATAGCGTGCTTTCAGTGATGACGTAGTCATTGCATATGCATTGCCTAGATGACGCTAATTTATCCTTGTTTCATGATGTACATTGACACAAGTGTGTAAGCATTTTAATCAATGTGACCCTGTTGTAAAACTATAACAACAAACGAGACGTTAAACTCCTAAAATTGACAAAATACAGGTACAGCCGAGAAGTCTCAACACGTGTCGTCGTAATCTGAACGTCACGCATTTGGGATTCATTTAAAATTCCTGATAGGGGCCGTAATGTAATTGAAAATAACAGTTGATCAAGAGCTTATTCGTAAAACATTATTTTTATGGGAAATAATTAACAAGTAAGGGAGTGAAAATGATTTTTTAACACCGCACTGCTTATTTTGGCTTTCTCAGTGTATGGACACCCATTCTTGTTAAATTGCCATTAGTTATCGTCATGTGACGCTGTAGGTATATCTAGTTGAAATTTTCCTCTCATTTTATTTACACCTGTTCTAATATTCTTTTGAAAATGGAAAGACAAGAAAAATGTGTCATTTGTGAGTCGGGGGATCAAACTGGGCTTGTTTGTCTTCGTGGGAAGGGCAGTGAAGGTATCAATAATGCTGCTGAGAAAAGGGGTAGCCATATACGCACACATCCTGGACAATATGTACACACAGAGTGCAGGCGTCAATTTACAAATATATTTGAAATCGGGAAATATCTTAGAGAGAGAGAACAAGGCAAGTCAAATCCTCCTGCTGAAAGCACACCTATTCTCAGGTCAAAACAGACTTTTTCATTCCGTGACCACTGCCTCTTCTGTGGACAGACTGCCAAACTCAACCAAAATAAAAGAGGGTATGATGTATATCCTGTGCGAACTCATGATTTCCAGACTAGTATAAAATCTATCTGTTCTATAAGAAAAGACGCTTGGGCAGACCAAATTTATGGTAGAATAGAAGCTGTAAATGATTTGCATGCTGCTGATGCCATCTATCATCAAACATGTAATGTCAATTTTCGCACAGGCAAAAACACTCCTAAAATATTTTCACCCTCCTCGACCGAAGCCAAGAGAGGAAGACCTGTTGACAGTCATATTACCGACTGTAAAAATGTAAATCTTGTATAGAATTTAAGGATATCCGCTCCTCAGCCAAGAAGGATATATATATCAAGTTAACCTGTGAATGAAAAGGTATTTTCTTCTTCTCATGTGGCAGTTTGTAGATATATTCTATATAGTAGATATATTTTACTTCATATAAATACAAAGTTAATAGGTTTTCAAATAACGGGGCGCAATATATACCCATGGATTTTCCAACAGATTGTTGAAAGACCTTATCTTCAAAAATACTACCCGATATATAGATATTATCAATCAGAAACTAAAACATTTTTTCATATCAGCCTAAGAGTACTTGTTTGTACAATCAAAATGTTTTCAACGAAATTACCGGTATTTTGCAAATGAAGAAGAGCGACTGAAGTCAGAAATATACAAGTATAATTTTTACCCCCCCCCCCCCCCTAAAAAAAAGGTCAACGATGTCAAAAAAATGTCATATGATATGTACAATTGGATGCGGCCATTGTAGAGGAACAAGTTGCTCTAATTCAACAAAGAGCACAGATGATGGAGACGACACAAATTAATGAAATAAAGAAAAAATTAGAGATTCTACTTCTAGAGTCACAATATAAAAGCGGGGGTTAGAGTCAGAGGAATCTCGGATTAGTTAATGTTATGCACATGGTTATCTTGTACTTGCAAGTAAATGTAACATTAAAAAAAAAAATAATGAAAAAATAAGTCATTTAGGCTATTTGATAATAACATGCTAAATGAACATGTTTTGCTTTTTAATTCTCCTTCACTCAGTCTTTGTATAATGTATATTTTTAGATGAGCTGATCGCCAACCAGGAGATCAGAATGATCGCATCTGCTCCTGCCACTTTAAGGATGGTAAGAAGGAGGGGGACCCTGCATATTTTGCATGGAATGAAGGAAAGGCCATGGATTTCTCTGATCCTGAATCTACAAAAAGGTGAAATTATTTCTCAAAATATGACAGACATCTTGTTTTTGGATGGTGGGTGGGTGGAGTTTAATTGAGAATATTTTACTAAAAATCTTTAAAAGGGTACATGTATAAACAGAGTAGCTTACAACTGAATAAAAAAATAATTCAAGTTTAATTATTTTACAAAGGAGGAAAAAACTCAAAAGTGAGGAGTCCCTGTCATCTTCACAGATGGACCAGTTGCAGATTCCACAAGCACCAAAATGTCAATATCAAGAAAAAGTAAAGCTCATTTAAAACACCAATGATGACAAATGACCAACACTGAAACATTTTCAATAATTTTTAATAAAATATAAAGTTCTTTTAACTGTACATGATTTACAATATATTTTCAGTTGATATCAGAGCACAACTACTCAGCATCCTGCACATTTAACTGTACTCAAGAAATGCAGCGCCTCTCAACAGAAATACAACTGGAAAAGGAATTGCTTGCCCTAAAAATAGAGTCTAGTAAAAGGAAGCCAATATCAATCCACGATATTTTAAAAATACAACGAAGAGAAGGTACATTTAAAGGAATTCCAATTGTGATTTCCTATTTCCTAACAATATCAGTTACTGTAATAAAAACTTGTTGCCATTGAGGGATGAACATCTTAGATTGACTGTTATGTTAACATATTTTGTTATTATTTGGGAGTTTAGGTCTCTGATCAGCAGGGGCATTTTCTTTATATAAGAAGAAAATGGAGACTCCCTACCCACCCGATGTATTTTGTCGGACAGTTTTCTGTACATTGCAGGTAAAAATTTTATTTATTAACTTTCCAGCCTCTTATTGTAAAGTATATTTTGGGTTCAGTTTTTGCTTTTCTTTAATTTTTAAAAAAAATTATTTAAATTCTCCTTTTCTTAGAATAAAATTCAAAAAGTAGCTTCTGATTGTAATGTATAAGACTACAGACATTGAACTTTGATTTGTTATCAAAAGGATTGATTTAAACTTGTCTAAATTAATTGTAAACAAAAATAAAAGGGGGCACCTGCTATTTCTTTAAGTGTTTTTCACTGGGCGGTGGGGAAACTTTTTTGTACATACTTAAGCAATAGGAGGGATTAGATAAGAATCAATTAGTATATCAGAGTCTTAAAAAATATACTTTGCATAAGCATAAAAAAAATTCTATATCAGTCTTTTTAAAACCTTTGAATTTTGCTTAATTAACTATGATTTATCCAATTTTGGAGCTTTTTACCTAATTCTGGGTAGAATCCACCCTTATGAAATTATTGACTCAATTTTGACTTAATATCACTTTATTAACATCAAAGCACAAAAACAATTCATTGTACAAATATTTTATTTATTACAGTCACCAATATATCCAAATATCATCACCGGCCCAGACGTCATTCACTCCTTTGAATTGTGCTGGTAGCAGTAAGGTGTCATCATTTGAGATGGTCACAGTATCCAATACACTGAAGTCACAGGACTCAAATTTCATACATGTTCACAGGTAGGTGTATAGTCTTTGAAATTACCACAATTGACTAATTCTGGGACAGGTAAGTATGTAAGTATAGGAATGAGAGCACCAAATCCCCGGATGCACACATGGCTTTGTTTGTTATGGAACATTAAACCGAATACTGAATGGGTAGGCGTTACGCCATTGGCTGAAATCAGGTATTTAATTGTTTTCATTTTAAAGTAAAATTAATGACCTTTGAAATAAATGATGGGATGAGGGAATATTACAGAAACTATAGAAATGCCAGGGAAGATTTTAGGAGTGGGGGTTAATTTTTTATGCCGCGTGTTATTTACTGCGAATCTCTATAAGTTGAAAATAACTGCAATTTTGACCTATAAACGCCATGGGACCATATATTTTTTTCAGTATTTTTTGTTAGGGCTTAGAACAAAGTTTGAAATGATGCTAAAGATTTTTCTGAAATTGTCATAGTAAAGTACTGAGAGGGCCTAAGGTTTGTATGGAGTTCTATGGGAAAATAATTAGTGGTCTTTTCCCTATACAAGATGCTGTCTGATGGCGTAGTGTAGAATGTAGCGCAGAATGTTTTCCAAGTCGGCTTAAATGCAAAGGTTTGTTTTAAAATTTATCATAATGACTTGCAAAAATTTAATGCAGTTAAATTTATTGTATTCTTGAAAGATTGACTGTAACACAATTTTTTTTACACAATTACAAATAATCAAATTAATTTTTTTCCAACTTTTTTTCAGGGTCTCTGCCAAAATCTTTTGAGGATTTTTCCTCTGCTAGAGCATCCATGGATGCAAATGAAACAACCCAGGACATCCCAACACATATGGATAATCAGGCCATGGCCTACAGTATGTACAAAAGTTGCCATACTTTTAAAGCAGTAACTTGCGTGCCTCCAAATGCTGCACTTACATTTTGCTCCATGCTGTACCCAGGTTCTACTTCTGATGTAGCTATTGTACGTCACAGCCAAGTTTTACGAAAGTTCAAAGCTGGAGACCTTATTTTGGTGGTCAAAGGTTTCACCATTCATGACCAGTTGCCCCAGGGTGTCTGCTTAATTATAAAAGCTCTTTTATTGACACGAGGCCAGTTTACCATACAAGAAGCAGCACTGTTACAAGATTGCTAAAGCACTTATTCATGTGGAAAGAGCCAACGAGAGGATAAAGAATTACGAGATTCTCCGTCACATACCATCTACTTACAGACCAATCTCAACAAAAATATTTCAACTCTGTTCTTGTCTTGTAAACTTGCAAGCTCCACTTTGGAAAGAAATTAAAGATACATGTACTTATTATAAATTTGCATTGGCGTGTGACAGTATACACTAAACAGTGAAGATATTCATACCAAAGTGCAAGGGATAAGCAAATTTTGATTTGTTATCAATGTCAATGGTTATATTTGTTAACTTTGTAGTATGTTGTAATACATGTACTTCAGAAAATGAAAATCCCTTTTGTTTAGCATGGATTTATTACAAGAATGTTTGGCAATTCGATTCTTCATTTGACAATATAATTTGGAAGAGGGTTTACTTATAATTTTAAATCTCTAGTTTAAAGTATATTTACCTTTAAAGCACAACTCAACAAATTCATGTTTTCAACAATTTATCTATTAAGAAAGACAAAAATGTTACATTTTCACTTTCAGAAAAACATCTTCAATTCATTAATAAAATGATTCTAAATTTTGATATTCTTTTTTTATGTAGTACATAGATTTTATTAATCATCATTGCTATTTAAAAGTCTTATAAGCCAGAAGTTTTATGATGGATTCATTGGATTGTGACATATCATATCATACATTTATGAGACTTGGGAACATTCAACACATTTAACATGATTACCCATTTTCCATTGTTAGAAAATTCTAGAGGTACAAAACTAAGTGTCAAGAAGTTCAAACCAGAACTCAGTTTTCCATCAGTGCTGGAATGAAAATGTTAATGTAGAAATCTATCAGCTTTGGAACATTTGCTGTCCATTCAATGTCTTTTACTATTCTAATCACAATGCAGTCTACTCTTGTCCACACAATTAAGTCGCAGAATGTTTTGTTACATATGTGTAGCTGGCCTTGAATTTGATGATAGTACGGGTGACTGGTTTTCAGGCACAGGGTATCTTGTTTAAGATCTAAAAAAAAATCAAAAAACACTTAAGTTGTGTCATACCAGTATATATCCCCTCCTTTTTCAATATCTTCATACCATATTGAACAGCTGCACTTGTAAATTAATACATGTTTTGAAATCATTTACTCACCAAGATTTTTTTAATTTCAAAGTACTGGACAATACAGATTTTTAATGTTATTTACCTATGAAAAATCCTTCAAATTTTGTGCCCCATCTGCTACTGTTGAAGACGATGCTGTATATGGACACTTCACCTCTACAATATCAGGAATGGCGTCTTTGGCTTCTGGAGTTTGATAAAATACACTGCATGTTGGTGGTCGAACAACTAAGCCATCAGGTGAAGCTCCCAACACTCCGGATTCATGCAACCATATCCTTTCCAGAAAAAATTATAATACTACTGAATGCAAACAAACCATAATACAATTGATTTTGTAATGCAAACAAAGTCTAAGTAGAGCTTTTATAATCCTTCTACTTCAAAAAGCAAATTTTCTGGAATATGTTGGTAACTGAATATTTATGCCCCGCCATGAATATGGCCGGGGCATATAGTGTTTGTCATGTCCGTCTTCCGTCCTTCTGTCCTTCCGTCCCACTTTGTGTTTAGCTCTGTTCAAAGCTAAGTTTCAAAGAAACTATCCAAGATATTTTCATCAAACTTCATATGCTGATAGATATTGATGAGAGCTATGCAACTGCATCAACATTTTTTGACCTTGACCTTTCCTTTGACCTTGACCTGACTTTTCTTAAATAGTGTTTAGCTCTGTTTTAAACATACCATTCAAGATGGTGTTATCAAACTTTACATGTTGATACAAACTTGCATAGATGATGCATCTAGAGATGAACACTATCGGACTTGCTTCAGATGCTGGATCTGACCTAAATTTTCCAGATGAGTGACCAAATTAAAGTTTTTGGAGCAGGTCCATTCTCAAGGAACTATAAGCCCTACTTAGACCAAACTTGCTTGGATGATGGATCTAAGGATGGACACTACCAGACTTGCTTCGGATGCTGGATTTGACCTACATTTTCCAGATGAGTGACCAGGTTGAAGTTTTTGGAGCAGATTTATTCCTAAGGAACTATCAGCCCTACTTAGACCAAACTTGCATGGATGATGCATCTAGGGATGGACACTACCAGACTTGCTTCGGATGCTGGATCTGACTCACATTTTCATTCCCAAGTAACTATAAGCCCTACCTAAACCAAACTTGCATGGATGATGCAGCTAGGGATGGACACTACCAGACTTGCTTCGGATGCTGGATCTGACCTATATTTTCATTCCCAAGTAACTATAAACCCTACCTGAACCAAACTTGCATGGATGATGCATCTAGGGATGGACACTACCAGACTTGCTTTGGATGCTGGACCTACATTTTTATTCCCAACTAACTATAAGCCCTGCCTGAACCAAACTGATCAAATTTTATACATGTACAAATTTCATGTTGCTTTACTAATATATCCTCGGCAGGGCATTCATGTCCTATGGACATATTTCTAGTTTTTTTTTACAATTAGACTTCAGTAATTGATTTCTGTTTTTTTACCAGGATAAGTCCTGTTATTTGTTTTGACACATTGAATGTTAACATGTCAGAGGTTGAATGAATGTTATTTTGTGCTGTATACCTGACTGCTCTACAGCTGCATCAAAGTCCTTTTCATACTTTCTCAAAGCATCATCTTCATGAGTGATACCCCATGCAACAGCCTTGATGGACTCCAGATTGTAAGCCGACATCAGCTGTTTCTTCAGTGACAATGTCAATCTGGAGAAGAAAATATGATTTTTGGTTATTAATCTTATATTTCCTGCATCTTTATGTACAAATATCTAGTCATTACAGTCGAACCTCATTATCTCAAACTCAATGAGACCAAGAAAAATGTTGGAAATATCCGTGGATTCAAGAATAATACATAAAGAGTTATCAAGAATAAAATGTCCCAGTCTTTTATAAATGGTTTGGACTTCAAAATTACTTTGACATATCCATGAAATATGAGATAATGGGTTTGAGATAACAAAGTTTGACTGTAATTTTAAAGGTCTATTTCGCAATAATTTAATCACACGTCTTACCTCCTTTGCTTAGAACTGAGAACTGCACCAAAGTTGGAAGCTGATATGCTATGTTTCCTTACAATTGACCACATTGGGTTGTTTCATTGCCAATGCAGCTCTTTTAATGGATTCAGGGATAATGCATGCTGTAACCATACCATAGGGGTATCAGAATGAACATACTCTGGTGATGTTAACAGGTCTTCAATGAGAGGTACAGGTGGACCAGGTTCACATGGCTCTGGTTCAAGAATCCAATTCAATGCTGAAAATTTTCATTACTTGTGTCATTCTCAAAAATATCATCCATAATATCCATATCACATATACCAAGTATTTATATAAGAGTCCATACATTTCATTTTAGTGAACACTGTCATGGGTTTTTGTAATGTATGCATTACATATCAAATTTACAACTCACTTGCATATATTTGTTCAGAATTGTTCCTGTATATAATTTTGCACGTGGCATTCTTAGTGTGAAAATGCCATGTAAAAATTGGTGCAAATGTACAATTAATATTTACTTAATTATTAACAAGGTTTCATAATGACAGAGTATTTAAATAATAGAAGAATGATCTGATAATTCGCAAGAATATGAAACAAATTATTTTTTTTAATGCAATTGAATAATTTATTTTTCCTTTCAAAAATGTCTGCTCATGTACAAAAATGCTATCATATTTATAATATTGTCTTTCCAATTATTCAAAGGTTGTTATTAATATTTATTACATAGTATGTTCAAAAATTGGGCATTATACATAGCCAACTATATTATACTCCTCATCTTTGTACATTTGTTCACAATTAAAATTAACCATCGGTCAGTAACAAAATAACAGTTTCATAATACTCGTAATATAAAAATCGAATCAAACTTAAATAACAACAATAGTAACACCAAAATCATAACTTCCTTCTTATATTTTACCAATAAACCTTCCAAGGTGCAAAAAACACTGGTCACTTTCATCAGAGGGTCGGTTTAAGGCACTTCAAATATGAAGCAAATTTTTTAACAACTGATTTATTTATATATAATGATTGATCATTTTTAAAAAAAAAAAAAAAAAAACAAGAGGCCCATGGGCCACATCGCTCACCTGTGTGTGGCTAGGAAAAAGTAAAAATTGTTTTTTTATTGAAAAGTTTAAATCCAAAAGTAGTCCCTTGACCAATCATGGCTTTGCTTTTCTTGAGAAGGTTATTTTTAAAGAATTTTCCTATATATTTCTATATAAAATTTGATCATCCTTTGTGGCCCCGTCCTACCCCCGAGGACATGATTTGAACAAACTTGAATCTACACTACCTAAGGATGCTTCCATATAAATATGATCAATCAGGATTTTGCTGTTCTTGAGAAGAAGATTTTTAAAGATTTTTGCTTTATATTTCTATGTAAAACTTTGATCTTCCATTGTGGCCCCGCCCTACCCCGGGGGTTATGATTTGAACAAACTTGAATCGACACTACCTGAGGATGCTTCCATATAAATAGGATCAATTATGGCTTTGTCATTCTTGAGAAGAAGATTTTTGAAGAATTTTCCTATATATATTTTTATGTTAAACTTTGGTCAGCCATTGTGGCTCCGCCCTCCCCCCGGTGCTCATGATTTGAACAAATTTAAATCTACACTACCTGAGGATGTTTCTCCATAAGTTTCATTTTTCCTGGCACAGTGGTTCTTGAGAACAAGATTTTTAAAACATACCATCAAATTTACATTCATTCCCAATTATCTCCCCTTGAATGAGGGTGTGGCCCTTTATTTGAACAAACTTGAATCCCCTTCACTCAAGGATGCTTTGTGGCAAGTTTGGTTGAAATTGGTCCATGGGTTCTAGAGAAGAAGTCGAAAATATGAAAAGTTTACAGACAGACAGATGGACAGACAGACAGACAAACAGCTAGATAGACAAAATGTGATCAGAAAAGAGCTAGAAATGAAACATTCCTCACCACAAAAGCCAGAAGAATATAGGGACCACCACCAGTAACATGTTTCTGGGAAGAACCAAACCAAGCAGAGATAAATATCAATAGTCCTGAATCTTCGATGCAGGACCAAGTACGAGAATTGCTACAAACACTACTCCGGAGACTTACCTATTATCCTATGATGTAACATACTTTGTCCACTGCAGCTGGTTCCCTCATAAGCTGGTAGCGAAGACAGTTCAGGATGTCCTGTCAACTTTGTTCCTCAACTTCCTGTCTTGGACAGAAAAGCAATAAGTGGAAATCTTTAGTGTTGCCTAGTGACTTTGAATTAAAAAGAAAGTTGCAAGATTGTGAAGGGGGGGGGGGGGGGGGTTCTGATGCTGTGCATTTTAATTAAATGTACGAAATCTGTATTTCACAGTTTAATGCATTCATGTATTTTGTGAATTGTCTTAGGATTCGTGTAATAATTGTTGCTATGTATTATTAAGCACTAAATCTATTCAACTGCATGTGTAAATGGGGAAAATGTGAATATGTAAATGATGTATAATTGCAATGTGTAAAATGTGACATTTTCTTATATGAGGGAGTCAGTGTTCATGTAATTTTTTTTTCATTAATTATTTTATTTATCTTGATAAAATTATTTCAATTAACAATATTGTTTTTCTTACCAGTCTGATGAACTCAACAAAGGTTACAGAGGTGAATGGTAGAAATATGGGTATTACAGGTGTCAAAACTCTTCGTTGAAGACCAGACTGCATGCCGCAATGTAAAATCACCATTTTTGATCTTTAAAAGGGGAGGCTACTCCTGAAATCAAAGAAATTGTCATAAAAATGAGTAACCTGATTTTCTTTAGGTCTCACACAAGGAAATAATTTCACTATATGTTACTATATAGCTTTAATTAAATAAATTAATTAACTAGACTCTCAGCAGATAATTCATGAATGAGAAAAAAGATTAATGCTTAGACAAAATTTGAGATCAGAAAAAATATACCCCTTATGCGGCTTTTAAGAAAGAAAATTGAGACTAAACATACCTATACCCCGAAATACACATGGGCAAATAGCCAACACACCATCGAGGAAGTTACATCGATCATGCGTACCTAAAAAAAAGGAGTTCCCTTTGATTCAGTGGCACAATTCTGCTGATATGATATTCCTAGTGCATGAGTCCAAAATTAAAACTGTAGACCTACGTAAAGTTCCTGAAAATGAAAAAAGAAAAGAAATATTATTGTCTCTATATACATCATACATAGAACTACATTTGTTCATTTTAATTAGCTATCTCCTTGCATAAGACCTTTAAGGGTAATTTTATGCTATTTACCATGTGCACTGATTGCCATAAAACTAAAGAAAAAATACCAGCCTTACAAAGTCACTTAACCATGACCTTTGACATACCTTACTAAGAATACCCTGGACAATTTGGTTTAACTTAAGACTTCTGAATTTTTAAATGCAGGTTTTGATAAATTAACCATTTAATATACTTATGAGCTCATAAAACTGTTCTTTAAAACTGTATGATAAAGAGTGTAAAAACTTTGAAACATGTTTGGAAAGTATTATCACACATGTGATATTATGGGATAAATTATCACCACAGAAAGATCAAAGAAAATCACTGCAGATATGCAACAATAATTCTTATCATTGTTTATTGTATGTCAAGTCTAGAATATGATATATCATTACAAATATTATGATTTTTAGCCGGGCACATTGCTCGTAGAGCAATGCTCAGCTATTGCGATGGTGAGCAACAGAAAATGCTGCTTCTTCACCGCCAAATTGAGTTTATGAGTAAAAGTATGGTACGTGCACCAGCCGCTGTTGAGAAAACAAAATCCATTCAACACCTTAAGAAATAGTAAATTGAATATTTTTATCATAATATTAAATTGTTTAATATTTTTTCCTGGCTCCTTTGACTAATATTTTACAAAGTATAATTCAACGGGTGCGAAAGGTTTTCACCAGGTATCCCTGTCTGCATCATATTCTATAAACTTACAATATAATTAAAATTAGATGTTAGATCTGCTCGCATACTCGCCACACTAACATCTAACAAGTCATCCCATTGAGGGTCACGTAAGAGGTTAAATTCGGAACGCCTCAAGATTTATTCGCTTCAACAATATATGATGATTTTGCCAGCTGTGATTTGATTAATTGATAGAATTTGACCTCTGACGTGACCCTCAACGGGATGTTGTTAGATGTTAGTGTAGCGAGTATGCAAGCGGATCTAACATCTAATTTGAATTAGATCAGTCCAGTCCAATACGAAAAATCGTAATGTTACGAAATTTCGTAATATTATTCTTATATTACTATTTTTCGTAATATAGTTAAATTACGGAAACTCGTAATATAGCAAGTTGAGAGAGAATATATTACGAGTTTTCGTAATGCAAGACAAATTAAGCATTGAAAGAAAATGAATGATGTTTAGGGAAGTATGACGTCAGAAATACATTATGCCCCAATGGTACTAGTATCACGTGGTCATCTTGGTCAGTGACGTCTATCGAAAAGTATGGAAATGCAAGAAGAAAGTAACAATGGTAATGGGTGAGTGAACATTTTGTTTTTTTATTCTTATATAAGAATTTTCCCAAGGATGGGAACAATTTTCCATAAAATTTCAATGTATCCTCAAACTTGTCACAATGGTCTATAATCCCCGAATTCCCTATATTTTTCCCGAAGTCTACCCTGAAAATCAGACCCTCATCTCAAATAACGAGATGTTACGAGAGATTACTTGTAAGACTCTCACTAGGCTCTGAATCTGCTTGCACTTGGATCAAATGCACCAAAACAAAGAAAATCCACTAACCATACATATCCACGATATCATAATGATGAAACCAGAGACCAATAATCTCTGATGAAACATAACAAAGAGATTGTATCAGAAAAAAGGGAAGTTACTCTCAGAAGAGTTAGAAATTGCTTATATTACGAATTTTAGTAATATTACGATTTTTCGTATTGGACTGGACTGTAGATTGATTCTATAAATAAAGGTTGTACTATCAGGCTAACACAAATGCAGGGAACATCATTAATGACTTAATGCAAATCTCCCTGCTGAGGACACATCAGTGCAGAGACGTTTGACCTTAATCTTGCTGCATCGGTGTTTATTTACTTCTGTTTGTATATAAAGCCGGATTACCCCGACACAATACGTGATAAATATTTTTCGCTGTTAATTTCTAGCTATATTTTATTTTATTTTTAAAACTTAATTTAATATTATACATGCCATTGAGATATTTTTGTGTGTATTACATATTCTCTAAACGTCTGAACGTGATTTTAAACTGTCACCACAGTCCTTGTTCATTATCCTGTAAATGAGCCCGGCTCAATACATTTACTATAAAAATAATTGGACAAATTTGTGAATGACAATATTCAATGATGCATAGCAATTAATCTTTTCCAGACATTCCCCTTCTCCTAAAAATTTGTCGTGTTATTTATTTATTTATTGCAAAGTCGTCCCTGGACTAGGGCTACGGTCAATGCAGCTGCAATGGGCCATGCAATTTCGAACCCTGCGTGGTGAGAGTTTGTCCCGAGACACAGTTAGATTATTCTAACTAGCACCAATATAGAATAAATCATACCGATTAATCAACATCACTACAATATGAGGACGTAAAAATAGGATAAAACATCCTTTAGCTGTTTAGTCCAGCAATAAGCCACTAAATTGTTTTTGATGTACCTTCAAACAAATCAAATTAATGTTCTTGATTCCCACTTTTCACGTTATGACTGACTTAGTGCTTCTTGATACCAAAACAATTTTTCTATTACCTATAATTTTGACTTTAGGTTGAATTCGTCAATTTCATGCTTGCGAAGTTGTGTCAATGTGTGCATTACGACCGCTCCGGCTACTTTCGTTATTTATAACCAATGAAAATTGTCCTTACTTTTCTGTTGCGTCATGCAATTTTATTGTACGCATCACTGAATTGTAGAACACACATCACAAGATTTCGAATATACATCACAAGATTATCGAACATACATCACAAGATTTCGAATATACATCACAAGATTATCAAACATACATCACAAGATTTCGAATATACATCACAAGATTTCGAACATACATCACAAGATTATAGAATATACATCACAAGATTTCGAATATACATCACAAGATATTGAATATACATCACAAGATTTTGAACATACATCACAAGATATTGAATATACATCACAAGATTATAGAATATACATCACAAGATTTCGAATATACATCACAAGATTTCGAACATACATCACAAGATTTCGAATATACATCACAAGATTATCAAACATACATCACAAGATTTCGAATATACATCACAAGATTTGAAACATACATCACAAGATTATAGAATATACATCACAAGTTTAAGAATATGCATCACAAGATATTGAATATACATCACAAGATTTTGAACATACATCACAAGATTTTGAATATACATCACAAGATTTTGAATATACATCACAAGATTTTGAATATACATCACAAGATTTTGAATATACATCACAAGATTTCGAACATACATCACAAGATTTTGAATATACATCACAAGATTTTGAATATACATCACAAGATTTCGAACATACATCACAAGATTTTGAATATACATCACAAGATTATCAAATATTGCAACGTTTGACATGCCATAGCCTTAAACTTGAAATATGATTGAATGTAAAGTCTAGAACTTAAGTGATTTAAAATATTTGTATACTAAATATTTACCGAGTCAATTTCTTTGTTGGAACATTGAAGCTTATACTAAATTTAAAGGGGGAAAAAAAGGTTGTTTAAGCGGTTTTTTCTTACGCAAAATTTGGTGATTTAAAAAGGCAATGTTTAAAATCACAGATCGTAGTCTGTATTCCGGTATCAAAGAATCCAATTATGGACTTTCCTTGTCATTTTCAAGGAGACTAATAAAAGTTTCACAGAGACAGGATAATCTTTGGAGCGAATGTGATGAAGAACCAACTGTTTATTAAATACCCTTTCATATACGGGTATTTCATGGTGATAACGAACATTATTCAAGCTCAAAAGTCCATTTAACAATACAAAATAGGAGCAGAGCAAACACGGACCTCCAAAACATCAGAGGTGGGAGCAGGTGCCATGGAGGATTGAGCATCCCTTGCCAACCGGTCAGAGTCGCCGTGTGCTCCTTGTCATGATCGGGAAATGACGGGAAAATCCCTTGACAATTCAGAGTATAAAACATAATCTAACAATTTATATAAAAAATTATCAGTCAGTATTTGACCCAATGATAAACTGTATTTTCTGACAAGGTCATTGTATCGGCCATAAAACTTACGAAATGATGACTTTAAACGAGACTGCTGATATTCTTGTTTCATCAACTTGTTTCTCAATAATTTACCTCGTTTTAGATTTTTTGTCCCCCGCTTGAAAAGTGGGGGATATTAATTTGGGTCTGTCCGTCCGTCTGTCTAGCTGTCCGTCCGTCCGTCCGTCCGTCATTCTGTCTGTCTGTAACGCTTTCGTTTCCACACGATATCTCGAGAATCCTTTGAGCTTTCGCAATGAAATTTGGCATAGCAACTCCCTATGGACTAAAGAAGAACCCTATTGATTTTGAGGTCAAAGGTCACGGTCATAAATTTGCAAAGTCTGTCTGTTATAACACTTTCGTTTCTGAGCAATATCTCAAGAACCCTTTGGCTTTTG